CTCTCTCTCTCTCTCTCTCTCTCCCCCCTCTGCTTCCTGTTCTTCCTGTGAGCTGCTTCCCTCCACCCCACTCTTCCGCCATGATGTTCAGCCCCACCTGGAGCCACAAATGGAGCTGGCCTTCCATGGACTAAGCCCTCTGGAACCCTGAGGCCCTAAACAAACCTTTCCTCCTTTACAGTTGTTCTGGTTGAGTCCCTTCGTCACAGCAGCGAAGAACCCAACTAATACAGGCCACAAGACCCACTGTGAGAACCTGGGCATGGGACCTGTGGAAAGAGGGGACCTTGCAGAGGTCGCGGTAAGGACCCTGGGATGAGGAAAGTGCCTGGGTTTTCCCCGGGGGCCCAGGGTAGCCACACAGGTTCTCACAAGGCAAAAGGGTGCAGGAGAGTCAGAGGAGATGTGATGAGGAAGCAGAGAGCAGATGCCATCGTGAATTTGAAGACGTGTGGCGGGGTGGACCAAGAAAGGCAGGCAGCCTCGGGGCTGAGAAAGTGAGGGGTGAACCGGCCTCCCYCACTCCCTCCCAGACCTTCCCGAAGGACCCAGCTCCCCACCTGGAAGGATCAAGAAGGATCAAGTTTGCTCTGGACCTTCTAGAAGGATTGCAATCCCACTCAATAAGGAAGACAAAGGGCTCTTTTAATCTAATTGAGATGTATGCTTGTGTGAGTTCTCTCACAGGTAAGTCRGGAGGGTTGTGACACAGGAGGCCTGAGAACCATCACCAAAGGCTCCRCCTCAGCCACAAGTTTGTTCTAAGTCAGCTGAGACTACAGATCTTCCTACCTCCTTGTGTTCTTCACTGGTATTGTTTAGCGCTGTAAAAGATGTAATGTGACACATGGGAGCTCTAGCCAACTTCTCCAAGGAGCCCCTGCCATGAGGGCCCTTCTTTCCACAATGCAGAATTTACTGAAAAATAATAAATTCACAGGCTTCACCACTATCCTTTGCTGCAGTCTGGCTGGGACATATGCCTTTCTGCAGCACTAAGTCCTGATGAATCCAAATTTAAAAAGTTTAGAGTAAAAAGGGTTATTTTAAGTTTATCTTTGGGGAAATTATACCCCTTCCCAATTCCGTCTTTTTGCTTTAATAAGTACATTTATCTGCTAAATCATTGCCCAAACTAAGGGCTCCAGGCAATCCTGTACGTGCCCTGATATGTCCTATAAAGAATGGATCTTTTCTGTCCCAGATTAGACTTTG